GATCCACAATGAAGTTCTTTGCTCTTTTTGTTGGGCTCCTTGCGCTCTTCGCATCGTTAATTGGAAATGCATCTGCAGATAATGGACAAATCATTTGTTGCTATGAGTATATTCACAAGCAATTAGAGTGCAAACCTGCAACGTGTTCACCGGAATACAGGATTCCATTAGATTACAGCAAGTGCCAATGCTGCGAAGCATGTTCCAATGAATAATAAATGTGAGTGCGCATGAAAATAATCAAAGAAAAATAATTTCAATTTAAACTTTGCAGGTAGTTGGAGTTAAATAAACAACGATGATTAGCAATAGTTTTGTATTATTTTGAAATTTTAATACAAATAAAAATATTTTATAATAAAAACTACTATAATTAATTTTTATTTTGGTTAACATATTTGTCAGTTGAATGCTTCAAAATATATATTTGGCGAAGTAAAAAGTTCTGAGCGTTTTATCCCATACATCAAGCTTCTTCTTGATACCAGCCTTATGCAAATGTTCCAAACGGTTTTCTGGCTAATCTTCAATTCCTGGGCAATGTAATAAGTGGTTGCATGCCGGTCCGTGTCGACGATTTCCATAATTTTATACCAGAACGTGCCTCGTCTTCGACGTCCATATTACCAATATGACTCACTAAAGCCATCTAACGAATAAGGCTCAGAACTTTTTACTTCACCTAATATTAATAAAAAACTTAAATCTATAAAAAAATGCAAATTCACAGAAAAACCATCTATAATAATTATTATATGAAAATATAAATGTAATTTAATATAATTTTAGAATGTATAGGTTTGAATGAGTATTATTATTGCTAATAATACAGATTCAGTTTGAAAACAATGGTATTGTAAAAATAAATGCTTTGTCTGAAGTGCATATTAAATACATAATAAAAACTTATACTTAATTCCTCTATATAAAACCCAATGCAATTTGTTTGTACAGTATATAATAATCATCAACAATAATATAAAATTTATAAATGTTATGAACTTTGTCATATTATAAGAGAGAAACAGTAATCCTCCAGTTTATTAATCTTCTTGAAATATACATTTATATTTCATATATGGATAAGTTCTCTATAGCCGTGTTAAAAGTAACATTTGTAGCTCAACAAGAAGTAATTCATGGAGCATTTCCTATTTAATCTTCTCTGGAAAACATCAGTTGTATGACAACCATCACCACCATCAGAAGCACCATCATCTGAAAAAGATAAGTCTATAATAAATTTATACCTATCAAGAATTTATGTTAAGTAAATAAAATTACATACATAAAAGAAAAAATGGTCTTCAACTTTAGAACCAGAATTTTTAACTATTGCTGTATTCTACGATGAATGCATTCCTGTATCAGTGTCAATATATTCAAAGAAATCTTGAAGGGCTATATCCTAAAACAAATATCATAAAACTTGAAAATTTTCTTTAAAATAGTATTTACCTTCTGTATGTCAACTATTTGCTACACGATTTTGATATAGAACATATTTCTGATTGGACAACTTCTTTTGTCGAGTATAACTAATATTTTCTGTATACAAAATCCACTTTACAGCTTAATAGTAGTTAAAAAGAAGATTCAGCAATTCTTTTCTACATAGTTGAAATCAGAACTGAGTTATCCAACCAGTGGCGAATTTAGTTCCCAAACAGTTCCTTAACGGATCGCCAATGTTTCCAATTCATTCATTGTGAACATTGTAACTTCATGTATGATAGCGTCTTATCATCAGAACAAAATGGTTTAAATAAAGAGTAGATGGAAAAATATGTTTAATTGGGTATAGAGTATTTTCCAGTATGAGAAGGTTTTGTTATATTAATAAACTAAAAATAAATGAGCATAAAAATATAAAAACGCGACCATTTTTAATTCATTATTTCTACAAATAATAATAAACTTGCGATTTTTCTTCTGTAAATTGTTCATCTCTTGCATCAAGTTCCACATTAGTTCGTGATTAGCTGACCGTCATTCAGTTGACGCGTACCTTCGAACATTTTAATGTTTTTATTATATAAAAAGATAATCTCAAATTTTAAAAATTGATAATCATTCGATTAACGACTAATACATAATTTTTATTATTGTAGTTAAGTAATTTAAATTTCACGTCCTTTAAATAATATCTAAAATGCTGTGAACAGTTGAAGAAACTGATCGATTTCTATATTAAAAGGAATAAAAAAACTTCAATTCAATAAATCGCTAAAAATACAAAAAAATGATCTCAATAACGAGCAAGATATCCACCCCTGGTATAGACGAATAAAAATACTTTTTTTTCTTCTCAAATTAATCAACATCCTGTTTACAAAGTAATAAAAAAATATAATAGTCAAGTCAACAAAATATAAAAAGAACATTAGCAAAATAGTAACAAGCGAAAAACGAAAATTGCTATAATTTAAACGAAATTTACTATTAATTTTAACAATAACAATTTAAGAAAAATACAATATACATGTACAATCTATAATGCTAAAGAATAGGCAATATTAAAAAACAAAATGTAAACTTTTAGTAACAAAAATCTATAGATTTACTACATATTATCTACATATATATAATGAAACAGTAAATACAAACAAACTGGTCATCCAACATGTAAACAAATAATAAAGGATTTCTTTATGTTTAGTTTTATGTGGATATAAGGTTGCTTTTGATAATCATTTTCTTACGATATGCTTATGTTTGCTTCACGCTTTATATCAGAACTATTTACATTATGATATTGATTTTTATTTATCTGTTCGTATGGTTTACTTCTCTATTTAAAATATATGCCCGTATTTTTTAAAAGATAGGACAACAAAAGATACAACTAGGTTCACTTGGTAATGGTAATGTTTCAGAAGCGGCACTTTGCTGATTTGACCTGCCTTTCGTTTTTAATGACAATGGTTTAATATTACATTTTTCCAATGCATGAATTAAACTGTCGGCATCTTCGATTTAACTTCGATAATTTCTCGCGTCCATATTGAGCATAAGATGAACAATTTTCAGAATTGAATATCGCTGCTTCGTAAAACAGTTTTCCCACGTCCGTGGATAAACGAAAATTTACCATTAGAGCAGATTTCAAGCTTTCCCAAGTATGTTCGGACGAACTCCATAAATCATACCAATCTTTCGCGAAACCTACCATACTAGAAGATACTCTCTCCATTAACATAGTTTCATCGTATCCAGAAATCTGAGCGATCGTTTCAATTATATCGATCCAATCATTCGGTTTCATGACCGACGGATCAAAAGCCGGCAATCTGAAGTTGGACAATTCACGACGGTTGGCATATGTCATGAGTTCCAACAGAAACGTTTCTGTCGTTAAAGAATCTGAAGCATCGTCTTCCGCCATCCCAATGTTTAAAAATAAAGTAAGTCACTTTCTTCAATCCGTAACTTATATGTTTTCACACTGTAATGTTATAAACTTCTTTAAAATTTCGTTCTAAAAACGCACACTACGTAAAAGTAAAAAATTCGGCCGACGCGTTCCGTCTACCTCTTACCGACGCTTTGATTTACTTAAGTATGCTAATGATTCTTCATAATTCTGGTTAGCAATCAGAATTGTTGTAACGCCCTCTGTCGAAATTGTTAGGATGTTGCGCGCAATAAAAATGCCGACTATATCCCTATAGCAGCATATTTATTTTTTATTTATATTTCTTTCTATTTGGACAACATAATTCTTACTTAACATTTTTTTAAATTAAACTACTTTTTATTTATTGTTACGTTTAAATATAAGTTATATAATATAAATTATGTTTCCTATTATACTCAAACGTGAGTTTACACGGTCAAATTGGACCAAAAGATAATAAATTCATAAATATATTAAATGACTTTTGCAAAATCCGTTTTGATAAAAAATCAATAAACTATGAAAATACAATTATTATTACTTTGTTAAGCAAAATTCTTAAATATTTGATCTTTAAATCAGAATTATGTATCAAATAAAAAACATATCTTATTCTAACTTTTGTTATTAAATTTATTAATCAGACTTATCGTATCTATTGTCAAAAATTAAGTACAACAATACCTTACATAGTGCGCGGTATCAACTGTGTACTTACAAAAATAAACCGCGCAAAAAGAGATTTGACTGTATAAATAAACGTATAAATAATTTTTAGTACACATTTTATTTATTTATGAATTTATTTTTATTTTGCTCAATAAAAACTTAGTTCGTTTTGAAAATTTAAAAACCGTACTAATCGAAGCCAGACTATTGCTGTATTTTGTTTGCAGATGTTCAGAAAGGATTAGATAAGCGTTTTTCAACAGGCGCAGAAATGTAGAGGAAATTTTAATAATGATAATAATATTTATTGCAACAATAAATTACAAAATAAAAAAAAATCTGAATTCAATAATACAATAACAATAATAAAATTTAACATATTTTGCATATTTTCTGATTTACAGGAAGTTTTGAAACCTTAGATTAGATCTTTCAACTTCTTGGGGAGATTTTTGAAACGAAGAAAATTTGATCGCATTTTTTAAACTAAAAATTTAAATTAATCTGCAATGACAAATTAATGTAGTAGAACAATGCACAATTTACCGTTATTAAACATTATTATCCTGTGCAGATTACTATAAATCTGCTAACAATGGAAATTATGTCTATAATAAATATATAAGTAATAAACAAATATTTAAACTTTTTTTTAAACAGGAGTGAGTTTGTATAAAACGACTTTCCGAACTTCAGGAAATTACAGATCCACAATGAAGTTCTTCGCACTTTTCGCCATTTTCTTCGCAGTTATCGCCGCTATCAGCGGCAAGTCCGTTGAGGGTAAAAACGATCAAATGATCGAATGCTGCTACGAAATCAAGCATGGATTAAAAACATGCAAAGAGGTGACTTGCTCTGAAAAGGAAGTGCTCGTAAAGGCTGATTTACTAAAGTGCTGGTGCTGCGATAGGTGCGAGTATAGAGTACCAGAGTAAATGTAAGTTGCAATTTAAATAATTACAAGACATTTATTTAATTATCATTATTTTTAGGTAATTCCTACATCACGCCATATAATAAGGATATTATGAATAATGTATAGCATACATAATATTTGCTGAAATCGAAATTATTAAGAAGATTTTAGTAGTTTTTTGTTAGTTTCAAAATTAATAGTTCACATTTCGTTTAATAAATAATCATTAAGTAGAAAATGTATATTACAACAAATAATTCCAGTTCCAGTTCAGTAATATGATGCTAACTATATCTGTATAAATAGCCCAATAATTGTAACATAATTTAATAAAATAGAACGTCCATAAATAATAAACGATTTCAATAATATT